CCTGCGCAGTCCTCGGCTGCGGCGCACCTGCAAGGCTGAGGCGGGAAAGGCAGCACCGTCTGCCCCAGCATTGCCCTCCTCGCTCCTCTGGGGCTTTCCTTCCCCCTTGCCGCCTTCTGCCACATGCCTGGGCTCTGCGCTGGTGGGAGACTTGGCCATGGCACTGGCTGGGGTCGCGCTGCCACCGTAGGAGCTCAAGCTGCGCCGCAAGGCCCGTGGTGTCTCGGTGGGGCTGGCTGCAGCCACCATCCCACCACACGACCTCCTGGCGAGGGAGGACCTCGCAGCCGAGTGTATATTGATGGCCTTCACGATGGGCCGGTCAAAATTTGCCAGGTTTTCAAAGGATTTGATCCTCTGTTTGACAGAGAAGGATGAGGTAGGTTCATGTGGCCAGTTCAGCTCATAGTAGTAGTAATTTCTCCTGAAGCTCCTCAGCTTATTGGCAGCAGGGCAGCTAATGTCGCTGGCTGAGTGGGACATGTCATGGACTCTCTGAGTGTTTTTGGAGGTGCAGGCCTGCTCCTTCTCGCTCTGGCCATTCGACAGATTCAGATGGACCATCTTTAACATCCCTGTTGCTGCCTGTGGGTATTTCTCCTCTGCAGCATGGCCCTGAGGGCCTTGCACAGGATGAACCTCTGCAACATGGCAGTCCTCCCTTAAGTGACCCGATAACTGGACCGGCATCGAGTAAGTCCTTGTCACGGGTTTCGACAAGCCATAGAGATTTCTGTCTCCAGTGGCATCCACTTTCGAGAAACACTGCATTGTACCCATCTCCTCAGTCAGCCGAGGGACTTCTGTGCTCCCCTCCTCTGTTTTCTCCAGCAATGGCAGCTGCAAAAATGATGCTGGTGAGGAAGACGCAGAGGAGGAGGAGGAGGACGAAGAGGACGATGAGGAGGAAAGCTTCACCTCAATGAAAGTACGCTGGATCTCCTGCCCTTCTTGAACTGAGGGCGACCTTAACGAAGAAGAGCCTCCGGCTGACGGCCCTATGTTTTGCAGATCTAACTGCCTAAGGTCATCTGCACTGTAGATGTTCTTCATTGTGTTCTGGCCTGTGCCACGGTTCTCAGTACTCCCTTTCACATACTCAACTTTTGGTATCCCCTGAGGAGGTGACTGGCTGTCTCTGGCTCTGAAATCTTCCACCTTAGCACCCCTACCCTGACACACCACAGGCTGCATGGAAACTTGCTTTTCTTTTGGCTTTCCCCATGCCTGCTGCAGGTCTGTTAGCTCCCCACAGCCACATTTCACTTCACTGCTCCCTGTTGGGCTGCTGGTGCCATTCAGGAGAGGCAGAAATGAATCTTCAGAAACGACCAGAGATGGCTTATTTTCTAGCTCTGACTTCAGAGTCCTTGAGGCTGCTGAAATGCTCTTGCCAGGATCTGGGTTTGTAGGTGAATTACGGGACAATGGTGTTTTCTTCCCCAGGAGTTTGGGTGACAGCTGTGGAGAAACAGAAGCCCTTTTCTGATCAGCCCCACTGACTTTGGTAGGATTAATGCCAGAAGAATCCAAATTTGCCTTTGCTTTGCTTTTGATGGTGAACCCTTTTAGCTTTGGTCCTGCTTTGGCCTTCTGGTTATTTAAAAGGGTGTCCATTATACCTTTTTGTGCCACTCCCTTAGACTCCTGACAGGATTTTTTCTGCGAGGATGGGCTATGCGGTACTGCAGCTCCTTTGCAGTGATTTGTGCCTGAGCTTTGGACTTTTCCATTTGAAGTCCTTCCTGAAGTCACAGAGCTAGTTTTCTCATATTTCCCTGGCAAGTCGTAAGTTGTATTAGCCTTTGGATCTTTAGATCTAGTGGGAAAGGGAGACCTGAGTGATATTGCTCTTGGTGATGATGCATTCACATGATTGCTGTCTGTTTTAGACAAGTTAGACGAACTGTTGGTTTCTTTCTTCACTAAGCAATAACTAACAGTATGATGACAGTCATCAATCACCATTTCGCTTTCAGATTTAGATCTCTGCTCATCATGACATCCCTCTTTCTCAAGCAAGTTGTTCTTCGAGCCATTGACATTTCCAGCAGAGCAAAAGCTTATCTTTTTGCAGTGCAGAGACCCTTCCTCTTTAATGGATTCACAGCCTTTCATATGTCCATTACTGTTCCCCAAACCCATCTGTTCTTCCGTACTTAAGGCACCATTGTTACAGAAAGAGTAAACTTCAGGGATACTAACTGAATTACTTAGGATATCTTTTTCTGTCAGAAAAACTGAGGAAGGAGAACACAAGGATGCAGAGGACACATCTGAACACTGTGAAGGACATGGAGCGGGACCACCATGATCTTCCAAGTCTAGTTTGTTGATGCTCGTCTCCAGCGACCCACACATTGCACAGCCCTCAGTCTGTAAAACTTTGTTGCTGTAAGGGTGCAGTGGGGACAGCGAAGATGAGCTTGTTGCAGATGTCAGACGCTGCTCCTGTGCGGGCTTTTGTGGATCATCGTTCATGCAACAAATCTCAATTTGCTCCTCATCTGACTCCATTACAGCACAGATTGCAGAAGCATTAGCAGCAGCGCAGGGCTCAAGCAACATCACATTAGCACTATCAAAGGTTTCTGTGACAGACTCTGTGTCCGAGTGAGAATCCTCTGCAGCCCCATACATAGACTTTGGGTTGCTTCTCTTACTTTCCGGAGAGTTTGCTGCAGGCGACTCATCCTCATTTAAACTGCTAAAATTCCTAGAATAGTTATTTAAAGAGTTTTTATTCACAGTAAAAAGTTTGCCTGTGTTAATGGAGTCCAACACAGACAGCCCCAAAACCCCTTGTGCATTAGTGCCACAATTCACATTTTTTTCCAGCAGCTCCTCCTTGGCTGGCCGTGGCTCAGATCCGGGACAGCCTTCATCAGTCCCGCAGCAGCACATCGTGGTGTACTCATCTCGGAGGGGGCTTTCTGCTCTCGACGGGGTGCGTGAAGCCCTGCTCTCGGGAGCACCCATTTGGCTGAGCAAGTCATCGATATCAGTGACAGGGATGATGGCAGCACAGTCGGAGCGGCTGCTTTTCGTGGTACCTCTTTGCACGTCTTTGCTCGCGGCATCAGGTGGCAGTGTTGCTCTCTCCACCGCACAGTCGCCACCAGTACTTTGCAAACCTGCTCCTTCTCGCTTCCCAGCACTCGGTTCTTCCTTGGTTGCGAGGATGCTGTTCACATCGGCCTGATTTTGACCGTCTAGCCCTGGAGACAGGATGAGGTTTGTAAATCTGCTGACAGCTGTATCATGATAAAAATAAATTAAAAAAATTATGCAAAATCCTGTCAGATATAGGAAATGATATACAAAACACCAGGTTTTACTACAAAAACAAGACACCCATGTAGTCAGACTATATGGTTTCCTTTTGCTCTGCACTCCTCCTCTTCTGCAATGATGTTTACAACAAGTCAAATTAATCATAACCCCGTCTATTTCAGTAGCACACAGAAGGGAGCAACCCACTCATCCAAGGTGAGTAGTCATGATCTGTTTAATTCTCATCTTCGAAATTTCAGTAGTCAAGCAGCCAACTACCAAAGTGTCAGTGTGCAGTAAGTCAGGCTGAGCAGTTGCACTTCTCATTACTTGTTTGATCAAAAATGCCTCCAACAGATTGCAGAAAGTACACAAAGCCCCGGCAGAGCAAACAAAGGTGAACAGGTAACACAGCAACGAATTATGCATAAATAACTTTACTCTGATCCTCTCGGCACTTCTGCAGGTGTTTAATGTGACACACATGGGTGATGTTATACACACATTAAGCATATAGGCTTTACAGGATTTCTGGCACAGACCTTTCCTTGCTTCCCATACACGTTTAACCCACTCTTAGGCAACACATTGAGCTCCCTGTCACTGCTGCGCTCCGACACATTCTCGTTCACCATTTCTCCAACTCTTCAATTTTCAGCACTTCACCCCAAGCATCTACTTCTACCTTTCTACACTGCTTCTGGGACACACATCCCCATTCAAGCTGCCTTCCAGAGGCCAGTTACTACCAAATAAGGCCCAGAAAGTGCACAGAGAAGGAGGGGTGTACGACACAGTCATTGTTCTTTCATGCTCCCTCAAAGGTACCAGCACATCTCTCTAATCCTTGCACAAACCTGCAGGATTATCCACACCACTTAACTTAGGTACCCATGTTAAGAAGTGCCGATTCCTCGTGGAGTCAAAAAAGGGGAAGACATCTCAGAAGAGCAATTTGAAGCCAGGTTAGGATTTGAAGTACTGCCCTGCTTCAGTATGCTGGATCATACATGGAAGAGACCCTCTTCTCTGCCAGTGGGGCAGGGTGAGGGGAAGGGTAAAGCAGAAGAGTTGCCTGATAAGGAGTGCCAATGTGCCTCTACCATGGGCTTGCAAAAGCCACAGCAATCTATGGAAACAAGAACAGGACTCTGCCAAGCCAGGAATTCCTTAAAGAACAACTGGAACTGAAGCATCTGGAAGCACTTTAGGCTCCCAGGTATTAATAGGTACACAAAGAAGATCATAAGCTAGAACGAAGCAAAATATTATGTTCTTCCTGAATTTGAAAAGTATGCTTTTCTTTTTCAAACACCCATTTCCACACCACATAATTTGTACAGTCTGTGGGGATGCATATACTGCTGTAGCAGCATAAATCAGCTCTGAGAAGAAGCTAAGGAGGTATCAAATATTTCAATTCAAACTGGAAACTTTTCATAGGAAACATGCAAATAAACTTTTATAAGATTCTAATTTTCTTGGGTTTTCTGTTTCATCTTTCTGCACATTAGAGGATTCTGACACATGAAAGGGAAAGAAGAAAAGAGCCTTTTATTATCTTATTGTCCATTCATAAAAACATTACTTAACTCCAGATTTAAGAGAGATGAATGTGATTATAAATGGTCAATCTATTTACTGAACAAGCACAGCAGTAAAGCAGGTTGTCAGGACAGGGTTGCTGCTGAGTTAGCTCCAGGTCTGCATGAAATGACTCAGACCTCTGCAAATACTGGCAGGAGGGACATACTGTTAAGTGGGAGCTTTGAATGCTTCATATGGGAGTAGGTTTGCTCCTCTCATTGTGGTGCTAGGGAGGACCCTAAATCCTGGTTTGGTGATGAAGTGCTTTGCCTGGCTCAGCAACGCAGACATGATGTACCTCCTCTTTTTTCTCTGAATCAATGTGGGAAGCTGGGGCGGCAGAAGATCAGACCCAGACAATCCAAGGAACCTTCTTCACTGGTACTCAGAATAAATGGTACGAATGCAAAACTACATTCTCACCTGATGCTGCTTTCTGGATCTCCAGGGTTACAGATGTGGGAAGACACTGCATAAGCAAGCAGATTTCCTCATACGTCATCTTACTGACTGGGATACTGTTGATGGTGGTAATCTCGTCTCCTACAGCCATCTTGCCCATTGATCCCTGACACAATGACAGATTCAAGGAAATTACAAATACACACTGGAAGCCCTGCCACAGGGGCAGAGGTTGCTGTGAAGCAATTAATGGCTTATGCGCAACATTCCCTATTTCATATCACCGCAGAGCACAGGTACCACTGCTGTCAGTTTGCCAACACGTAAATAAAGAGCAGACTGTGCTTTTGCCAGGAGAAGAATTAATGATCAATCTCAAACATGAAGGTCAAAAGAGCTGCTGGTTTCTCTGAGAGATCGGTATTGGGATGGAGGACGTAGCCCTCTTCATTTAAATGAATTGGGACGAATCAGCCCTAGCTTCTTCGGAACTGAAACACTGTCTTACCTTGTATTTCATGTATGAATTACATTCCTGGTCACAACCTCCCACTGGACCAATGAGACTCTCCTAAATAACTAAATTGGACAGGGACTGAGCTCTTAACGTAAAAGCCTAAGTACATTTCTAAACACTGAACAGTAAGTCAGAGAAAAAGGCAGGAACAGAACCCAAATCCCCAGCTCTCAGAGGCCAATTCCAACTGCTACAACATATTCCCTCTTACCCTAACTAGATTAAAAATGCTACATCCAGCTTTGTGCACCAGAGTATCCGCCTTGCTCTTTTTGCACTTTTGCATCTAGGTCAGCAATTCCACATCCAGCATGAAGCAAGTATCCAAACTAGTATGTGCAGGTATGAGAAACAGAAAAGCAATGTGTTTCTGGTACTACCATGGCACTTGGCAAACCGGGCCAGCACCTAAGGCCTCCTGCTACCAGATCTGTACACAGAAGAACACATGCTTATAAAATAACAGAGGGTAATAAACGTTTTTACCACCAGGAATTACTTGTTTTGTCTTTGCCCCCGGTAAAAAGAAAGGAAACAAAAGAATAGTATTCCCTCAAAACTGTGACTGCAAGTGGGGATGAGTCCATCTCAGTCGATGTGCCTCTTGACTTCCTCAGTTTTGAATCAGCTAGGATGCACTTCTGAACCAGAAACATTTAACAGCAGCTTCAGAACAATGTGGGACGAGACATTTTGCCCAGCAGAAACAAACACCTCCCTTACACTTACTCTCAACAGATCACTTGCTGAATAATAATAATAACAACAACAACAACAATAATAACAATAATAATCTCTGCAAAGTGAAAGTAAATCACAATGAGCCAAGAAAAATTTAAAAATTACCATTTCTGCTGCTCCACCTGGCCGCAGCCCTGTGACAACAACCTTTAAGGGCATGGCCTGGATTTCCAAATCCAAGCCAAATGACTCATGCTCATTGCGAACCAGAGTGACTATTTCACCCTGGCCCTGCCCGGCCCCATCGGTTGCTTCACACTTTTTGCTGTGAGGGAGCATCCTTGCAACTGGCTTGTTGTAAGAGCTGTGCTCCTCCACCCTCTGTCTCTGAAGGCTTCGGCACTCAGTGCTCATCATGCTTTTCACTCTTGTGACTGCTCTGTGCTCAAGTTTTGGCGATCTCTTAGATTCGAGTTGTGCTTCCCGGAGCTCCTTCAAACTCAGGCTGCCAAGACGAACTTCAGGCACACTTGAGTAATCGAATGCTATGATGGGGAAGAAAGGAGAGTCAGTTTGCTCCAGCGTGCTGTCTGCAGACTCCACAGAGTTTCCTAAGACAGGAGAAGATGTCTCCGTGCCACCATATCTAGGTGACTCACTGTCCTGGCTCTCATCATCGATTTCCACAGATGAGGTTGTAATGGCAATGCCAGAGTCCTCCTGGCTCTTGGCCCTCTGGCTTCTTTGCAAGTGGGAACTTTCGTCATCATCGCTAACATCACCATCGTAGAAAACAACCCTTCTCTGTCGATGAAAAGGGCTGCGGGCAGATTTGGGGCTGTCGCTGAGGATGCCAGGTCGAACAGACTCCATGTGCTTGTTGTGAAGGCCAGATGATCTCCCACTAGCTGGAGAAGCCAGATCATTTGCTTTTGTCACTCCTGCTTCTCTAGCAGCTAGGGAAAAAAAAAGTTATACTTTAATTACCTTTATAGATAATTTTTAATACCATGTGTCTGACTGCAGCAGAGTACAGTGGCTGTGTTTGCAGGGGAAGCTTAACCTCTCCTCACAAAGCAAAAAGTAGGTTTTTCACGTCCTCCCTCTAACTACAGTAAAAAGCAAGAGGGAAGGCAGATGGCTCTACTATTTATGGGTAAATCCCGAAACCAGTTCATGGCACATCTGGTTCTATTTTCAGTTTATTTCTAAATAATGACTATGACTCAAAGAAGAAAGGGATGCAAATTCACATGTGTACTTTACTTTAACAACAGAAATTCTTTCACATTTTGTTTAAATCTATGCTCAGGACTGCCTGCATCAATTTACAGAGAGTGCAAAATGCTTTGCTGAACAAAGATGCAAGCACATGACAATCAGTTTCAAATTAAAGACTAATAAACCCAAGAACCCTTTCCATATCCTTCCTAGAAAGAACTGCATCTTAATTTGTAGAAAGTTTTTTTGGTTTGCTTTGTTTTGTGCGTATTTTTAAATGTAAAAATGCTTTTAAGCATTAAATAATGAATTTTGAGAGAAAAATAAGCTGTAGACAAAGACATTATTTGGGTAGCATAGGAAAGGCAGAACAAGTGTAATATCCTTTGAACTTGAGATCAGATGCATGTCAGTAAGGAAATGTAAGATTCTTTCAGTCAATTACTATGGGGAGAAAGACACATATGCAAAATATCTCACGTCAAATTGAACATTTGACTGTTTTTACACTGCTACATGTGGCATTTTGAAATTGTGTATTTGAAAAATAGCTATGAACACTTTCATTTAAATGTAATCAATCAGACAATCATCAGTTATTTAAAAAAATGACTGCAGCGCTGTCAATCTGGTTTCAGCCAAACCAATCAAAGAAAGTAATTTTCATATAATCAGAGCAGCAATTTGGACAAAGTATCATGGAAACGGGCATTTATGTTCGTTGTGGTATACCCCGTCCATTTTCCAGAATTTCTATGATCAGCACTGGCTTGCACTACACCGCCCAGCATTTCTTACCAGCACAGGAATTACTGTGGCTCTCCTGTAAAGCAAACGAGCGCTCAGTGACTCTCCCCGCATTAGCCAAATGACCAGACACATTTCTGTTGCTTACTTAGGCCACCAGGAAGAAGAGAGCCATCATCCAAAAAACTGTTTCTGTTCTTCTGACGGAGCTGCTCTTCATCACAGGAGCCGGTTACGGCATCAGAAAACGGGACCTGGCCCATACCATCGTGCGAGAAGTACTGGGAAAGCTCTGCCTCGGAGCTGACAGATCCCTGCTGAAAAGAAGTGAGCCTCGTGACCAGCCATCATTGGGGCTTAAAGCACCTGTCTGCATGCAAGCACCACAAACTCCACTCACACTGATCAATAACGGAAGTTTAAAGCCAAATTTTAAAATAGAGGACTCGTCAGTATATTGAGTGCCGAACTGTCAAACTTGGATGACTGAAATGCTGCACATCAATACGTTTTCAGCCAGTATAATAAAGAAAAAAAGGATTCCAAAACCCACTACTTTGCAGGTGTGGTTCAATGCAGAAACAAGGATGAAACCATTCATATGTGTAATTCCCTTTTTTGTACCTTCCACACAGAGAAGGGAAGGGTTTGTACCTCTGGACACAGTTTGTATGGCTTCTTTGGCTTTCCCAGGAAAACCAAAGACTTTTCCACTGCAAAATGGCTATATAGAGAGACCAAGCACTCAACCTTCTGCCCAGGGGCTCAGGTCTCTCCTGCTAACTTCATCTCTGTGTCTCACAGCACAGAGGTGCCTTCAAGGTGGCAGGAGGTGGGAGCCCACAGCTTTCTCTGCCATGCTCTGCACATCACACCCAAAGGCTACAGCCACACAGACGAACAGGAACTTGCTGCTGTCACAATTTAAGCATGTGACATGAGAAACAAACGCTTTTATAGAGCCCATACGACAGGGAAGGAGTATAGAGGTTTGGTTTTGAATTCCTTGATCAAATAAGAGCTTCAGTAAAAGCAGAGTATGAAGCAGACACTGTTTTTATTGCATTTAATCCTTTTACCCGGCTCGCTGGCTCCAGGAAGCGTTTCATAGTCCAGCTGAGTGGAGATGAGGTCTCTCCTTGTTTGGCCTTCACACTAGGAGATGGACTTTTTTGTACAGCTCCTGTTAAACACAGCTTAGTTAGATGCCAAAAATTAAAGTTGTGGTCCATACATACAAGCAAGGTCCTCATTGACATTCTGAGCTGGGGGCTACATTTAATCCCACTTATTTATTATCCAAACTGCTTTCCTGAAGTGAGATTTATTTAACATTTCACAAGCTCTTCCCTCAGATCAGGTGAAACATTATCACAGAGATACATTATGCTAGCCAGGTTCAGGACAGAGCTACAAACAACAGATGAGCAGGAGATGGTCTTCCTCATCTGCTGGAGCATGCTGTCGACTAGGTGCAACTTCAAAAGACAAATTAGCAGCCACTGGCAAGGCCTACTACAAAAAAGGTCTTAGCTGACTCAGATATAAAGAGGATAATTAAGAATTTAACATTTCTGTCTAAAAATCACCTTACTAGTCACTCTGCCATTGACAAGAGTTCGCTTCCATCTGTAAGATTTTAGGAAGTGCTAAGTCTGGAGTTTGAAAACATCAGACAAATGCCAGAGCACATATTTTGATATGACCCCAAAGATTAAAATGGAGACAAAACGTACAGTCCAGTAAGAAATATCTTGTCTTTTTCAAATGTACATAACAATACTTTCTCTCTTTTTTTTGCCAACTACATGAATAAGCGTACACAGATGGAGTTGATTCCTCCTGTCCTTTCCCTGCTGGGACACTGTGCTTCCCATTCATCTTGAAGACAGGATAGAGCAACCAGCTCTTGGCAACCCTACTTTCAGATCATGGTAGCCTAGAGAAACAAAGCAGGTGACATGAGCTATAGAGTTGATCCATCTGAACTGTATGCTTTTGCTAAAATTTCTTCAGTGGACAGAGTGATTACATCCCCTGAACTGTTCTGCTGTTTTGAGGGCCCTAAAAATATTGATGTTGGGGAACCTAAGAGCACGTCCTTAAACCTTCCTGCATCTGGAAAAGAACACATATTAGGCGAGAACATGCTGCTACCTGTGATGTGAGAGGAGCAGGCATCCTTGCTCTCTCGGTGGGTAGTACGTGTGATTGCTTCATCCATCTCCTGCTCAGAAACCTAAAGTCATGGGGGAGACACAGATCAAACTGCATAAACGAAATGAAGAAGAAAGTCTGAGCACTTATCACTACAAATACACGATACATTCCAGATATGCTACTATTTTTAAAAATGGAGTAAAGAAGACCTAGTTGAGAGCTCCTAAGTCTTGGTCCCCTGATTCAGACTTCCTCCATGCCACTTTCCTGCAGAAACCAGGAGGCAGAAGCCTGCTGACTTCATGAAGACTACATCCACGTGCCACATGACGCAAACAAATGAAGCAGCACCAGACTTAAAGAAATCAAATTAAGCCATTACAGCACAATTTAAACTCAATTAAGTGCTGTACATTGATTTATTGAGAAAATATTACTTTAAAATAGACAAAGACTGCTTTGTACAAGCATACACCAGCAACAGAAGATACTGTACACTTAACCTACCGGAAGAACATCAGACTTCCCAAGATATTAGCTGTCTTTTTAATTTTCATTTCTCTTTGCTTTAAAAAAGAAAACCTAAACCAGTAATTGGTAATTAATGTTTTTCTGGTTTAAGAATAAATACTGGTTCACCATATTTGCTAATTTGGCCCTGAACTACCACCACGCACTTAATTCTTATTACTGGAAAAGTCCATATAATTTTGTAACGGGAACAACTAGTCTGCAGGAATACATATTCAAAAACAGAAAGCAAGTTAATTCTGTCAAAAATAATTTCTATGCACATTGCTTTACATGAATTAAAATTCAGCATAAATAAGAGACTAGAAACTTGAATCTTTCTGAACCACGAAGACATGAAAGATTCCTAAGAAAACTCTGCAGTTTAAACATAGTTTAAATGCCACATTCACTCAGAATAACAAGAAGAAAGAAAATTTTGTGGTATTTCTCTTGGAAGCACATGAAAACACCAAAGTGAACATATTCAGCAACAAAATGTACTGTGGACCTTTTGTATCATAAAATGAGACATTAAGTACAAAAACGTCCAAAACAACATGAGTCTTTGTAGAAATACATCTCTCTCTTCAGCCTGTGGTACAACCTTACAGCAAACCAAAAGCCTCTGGTCTCCTGGGGCACTGGGAGTTCCTACAAGACACAGACCAAGCCCTGACAGTATGCTCTCCTTTACACAAACCTTTGGGTACAAGATGTCACCAGGATAAAACTAGGTGCTAGGCAGACTGCAGTATTTGTTTAAAGCTAACCAAAAGTCCACTTCTGCAAGCTCTGCGAATTTTGTTTTTTAGGATCCTCTACACTTCAGGCAGATCAAATTGGAGAGGGACAAGCTAATTCCTAACTACAATATACATGCTGGAGTATTATTAAGATCAAATAAAATAAAATAAAATAAAACAAAACCACACAGACACACTTCTGTAGATCTCCTAGTGCTGTCAGAAAAAGGGGTGACTATGACATAATGATACGTATTTGGCCCCATATAGACACTCCTTCAGAGATCCACCTTTGAGGGACCATAGATTCAGTACTGCTTGGGAGGAAAAAATGCTTTAGGGTCCCTCCAGCTCAACTTTTAGCTTTTCTTAGCATTTCTTGGCAAAGGATTTGTTGTCATTTTAAATATCACTTGTGGAAAACTGTAATAGGAGCCACTTAATAGTTTCCCTCTGTTACTGAGTAATAGCAAGCAATTAGCTTAACTCAGTTTATCTTCTCAGCAGATACCTGGTTGGGTCACTCATCGGCTTTCAAGCCACCACCACAGGAAGATGAAGGGTGGAGGAGAGAGGGTAGGCTCCACTCCACAGAGTTTTTATTTCATGCTACTTACAGACTCTCCAGAAAGTCTACACACCTTAATAATGCAATCAAATTGAACCATTGTGCTGGTTCAGCACAGCCTTCAGACTCCCTAGAAATACTGTTATCTTAGGACATAAGCCCAATTCTTACCCCCTCCATGCTTGCCTTTAACTAACAGAATCACAGCCTCTTTCTTTTTAGCAGCACAGCAATAACAACAAACTCTGGACAGTAGACCCCTATTTGTCTGTTTGTATATTTGACTTAACAGAAAACACTCAATTAATTATAAAATAAGAAACCTGAGTTCCCCTAGATATGGATTTATTACAGCCTCCATTTGTAGTTACGAGTTCAAAAGTCGGAGCTCTCTGGACCCACTAATGCAAATATTTTTACAGCTTCATTCCTGTTTAAACAGGAAGGTTTTGTACACTCATGAAATTCTTTGAAATATTGAAATAAAAGAAGTTGTTATTCCCTATAGCTCAGTTGAAAGACTTTTATCTTCCATCATCGATTTTTAAAAATTGCTTGAAAATACTCACTCTGTAAACATAGCCTTATTTCCAAATTGCCCTTGCACAGATTTCACAGTAGTAGTACATTCTGGATTCTCACATTTTAACTCCTGAAGGAAAACTTTTATCTTTGGACAGATTTTACTTTTTTAAAAACAGTACTCCTACTACTTTATTATAGCTGATCAGTTCAATCTGTTGATATTTATATTCCTGGCCCTAAATAATATCCTACTCAAAGAGAAGCTAACTGCAAAACAACTTTCAGGAGGAAGAGGACTTGTGCCATATTTGCATTGCCACTTGGGCCAAGTACCGAGAAAGATGGGAATACTTCACTCAAGTAGTTCCAGGAAAATTGCATTTGATCAGTGAGTGACTAAGTGAAAAGCACCAGGGATAGTCCAGCATTGCTACAACTTACAAAACTGGAAGGCATCATTGCAATCCTGACTTCTTGCACAACAAACGCCACAGAGAGAAAAATCCAATATTCTTCATTTGCTGCTTTCCCGACAGCCAAGACTCAAATTACAGCACCAGATGAAAACAACCCAGATACACTAACAGATTTTCTCCTCACCTTGGGGTTAGGATGCCGACTAATAATTAGGCTGACTGGACCTGGACCACATTCGCTCAGGATGGCGTAGGCCTCACTTAATGCTGCGTGACGCAGACTCACCGAATCTGCCTCCAGGATCTGGTCACCCCGACTGCAGAGAGACACAGAGCCAGTTAATCTCAACTGCCTTTTACAAAAACATTTGTGCTTTCAACTGATAGCCAAGCCTTTTCAAAGATACAAGTGTCTGGAAAAGATCTGACTTGCAAAGAAGCCAGTCTTGCTCTGGCTCCCAGTGATGTGAATGCTTTTAAGTCCTGTTGATTTCAGAAAGGAGGTCCAGAGATCCCTTCTGCATTTACCGTCAGTGCTACAAACCCTCTTAAATCAACAGAGAAAACTGGCTGCATTTGGACCAGAGTGAAAGCAAACTTCAATTCCAGTTCTGCATTCAGATACTTGTCGAGCACAGAAGAGGAAAAATTAGATTCAGATGGGCTGTTCCTTCCCATCATATTGAATTACTTAACACAAACACTGATAAGAAATTCATGGTTTAGATACAAGTTTATGAAATGACTGCAGGAAAAAATTGAGCACGATAAGCTTGTATTTATTACAATTTAACATATAGAACCCATTAAAAAGAAAAAAAAATTAAAACTCTTCTGAAAGGGAAGCACAGATTGTTTAGTTTTGTTTTCCCCATTTCTTAACTCTTGCTCATGGCACTCAGACATCTGGAACTAGTCAAAAGAAAAGATCATCAACTAGGGATATCATTAAAGCATTTGCCATAATTACTAAAGTATTTGCTTTAAATAGACAAATAATTTATTGCTGCTGATTTATGTTGGGCTACTTGTGACAATGGAAATGAGTTTGCACTGTGAGTCCACATACCAAAGACAATTGCACGTGGCAGCCTTCAGTAACCTGTACTTCTGGTGCAGGCTTAGGAAAGTAAAGCGTGATCTACCGGTTGTGTAATCACGCCACTGCTCTGCCCGTCTTTTAGATTTACATAGCTATTAAAAACTACACAGAGTCATTTACACAGGCACATGACAGAGGGGGAGCTTAGACACAGAGGAGCTAGATTCAAACCTCTCCCGGTATTCCAAAGCCAGTACTTGATACACGAAGTTTTCCAAAAATCAAAACCATCCTCTAAGTTTTGGCTTATGGAGCCATAAACCGTTGATGGGACAACAGAAGCAATGTCTCAAAGAAGCAAGCTAGAAATCTGGGAAGCATGCCTGGATATAATCAATCACTTAAACCTAATAAACAATACAGCTGTTACATACAGATGCAACCAGCACTGCAATCTTTTCCAAAGAGGCTTACAAGAAAGCCAGTTAGCATTAAACTCTGTTTCCTATAGACATTTCTACATGGTAAGAACTTTCAAGGGTTTTGGCATGGATGTCACCATAAAATTATCTTCTTCCTTTATTCCAAAAAATTAAACTGCTCTATCACAGTTTTCCTGGTAAACAAGGAAACAGAAGGCACTCTCTACCCATGTGAAAGCAAGGCATTTGCTCTGCCTCTCTGCACCAGTGCTCAGGCCACACATTCAGTGTGGATCACACAGTCCCAGCGGGTCTTCAGTGCAGCCTCTCCTCCTGAGCGATGCTCCCAGCGCCCACCAGCATTATTATGCAGGAACGCAGAAACGTGGAAGATTTCCTCCAATGGTTTCTAAAAACGAAGTCTCCAGGAGAGGAACAGCAAATAACTTTCTGTCACTTAATCCAATGTAAAGCACAAGGGAACCCTAGGAATGATTGCTTCTCTCTCTTACAGCTCCTTAAAGACATCCAAACTCCATGACTGAGTAAATGAGATGGGCAGGTCAGCCTGCAGCAATCCTGCCAGACAGACAGTAAGGGCAGAAAAGTGCTGCTGCAGCCATGGGCACAGTCAGCTGCAAGAACATCTCCCCCAGCTCTTTCTATGAGAGTTTCAGGTGACTGAGCTTTTAGCAGAGCTCTGCAAATTTCCTCCCAATCTGGGGTCTCTGGCTGCAGCTCTGATAAAAAGACATGAGGCTGCACTTCTTGCTGCTCCCCTTTCTCAAAGGGTGCTATTAGGCTCAGCTTTCTGTACAGAGAATTAAAACACAACCCCAAACCTTAACGATCGTGCTGCTTCCACCACACAGAATAATGTTTCCTGGGTATTTAATACCACTTTGGAATGCCTTTATTTAAATGTTTTCTTTTTGGTCAACTCTTAAGTATAAATCCCCTCCCTGAGACATCAACCAGCTGGTGAAAACAAAGTCTCAATCGATTTTATTGTAAAACCACTCCAGCATGTTTCTGCTTTAACTAACCTTAATCTGCCATCCATTTTAGCCACTGATCCTGGGGCCAAGCTGTGAATGTATATCCCTGGAGAACTGTTTTCCAGTGTGAGACAACAGGCACCAATGCCGAGCCCAACCCCTGGCTCTGTGAAAAACAAGTACAAAGAAAAGTAGCAGATTGTAATCACACAGGACACACAAATGTTTGTGTTCCCACGTCCCATCTGAGACCAAGACTCATGTATTGTTTCAGGGCTGGCCTTAGGTGCAGTCAGTCAGGAAGCCAAGACCAACAGTGGAAATCAGGATTGAAAATATCTGATCCTGACTGTTTTCTGAGATCCATCACTCCCAGCAAATTTTCTGTGTGCCGTGGGAACTGCCTGGAAATGTCACTCAAGGTTTGATCTGGTCCAAGGCAAAAAGGAGTGGGGGCAGCAATCCAATAAAGATGTCACTTAAAATTATGGCAGAAAACGTGAGCATAGAAGATGCTGCCAACTATACTGCTCTCTTTTGTTAAATACCTGCAAGGCATTCCTCAGCAAAGAGGCATGAAGAAAGGTGAAGTGTTAGCTGTGGTTCGATGATTACTTCTGTCCACTTTCACCTTTGCTTTCCTTCAGGTAACAGCATTCCTAAATTAGGAATTGCTGGACATCTTACCTTCTCTCTCCAAATTTTGAATCTCATTAAAACTAACTTATTTTAAGACCTTAAAATAGGCATATTTGTCCCACCACATACAGCATATGCTCTAAGTTTATCTTGTGAAATTATTGATAATGAGAGCAAACTTCAGGCAGGAGTCCAAACAGCTCATCTAGGCAATTCTGAGCACTTTGCATGGCTTTGCCTTCCCCAGAGAGGCCTTTTACAAGAACGGCACAGCCATTTGGGCTGCCAAGAGGCTGGTTCACATTTTGCCTGGTATCTCACAGCCTCCCTCTTTCAGCAGCATGGACACTGACTGCTACCCCTAAGAGTCTGCTGACAGTCGAGCAGTGAAACATGGAAGGGGAAACTCTTCAGAAGCTTTTGCATTAGAAGATGTTTTTCTTCCCCATCCCATGTTCAAGATCAGATGGATATGAGTTGTTGCTCTGGATCTTAAGAGTCTCCCTATTCCTAAAAACTCCTCTAGGAAGCAGGGATTCGTTCTTCAAGCTCATTCCAATGGACCCTCACCTTTATTCAGCGTCACATCCATGACGATCCTGTCCTTTGGGCCGGGTCCTTTGCGGCTGGAGGAAGAACCATCTGCCTCATCGGGGCCAGGGACTGGCATGCCACCGCTAGCGCTGGAGCTGGGGGAGCTAGAGCGGCTCAGCAAGGTGGGAGTCACGCAGGGCGTGAGGCTTGGGCTGCGCAGCCGTGTGCGCACAGTCAGGGTCACCACACCTTTCTTAAGTTGCTGGAGAGACATCAGAGAACCCTGATAAGGCAACATGATACACCAACATCTGCCAGTAAACCTGCATATAGTATTTTGTGGTAGCAAAAGAATATAAATCCAAGGGTATGAAATGGCACTGAAAAAAAGAGGAGCATGAATCTCTACCGTACTACATCCACGTTACCTTAAACCTGTGAATGGCCTCCTGATGGGTCAGTCCTTGTAGAGACTCTCCATTAACTTCTAGGATTTCATCCCCTGGTAATTAGATACAAAAAATGAAGTCAGCAATATATAGACTAGAGACATGTAAAAAAACCTTTCCTGTACATAAGGCAACCCACTACTATGAGGATTCCAGTTAACTGCTCAGTTAAAAGCCTTTTACTGTCCCTAGTTTTTCACTTGTCCTAATGACTTTGCAAGCTAACAGCGATGAATTAGCAGAGTAAAGACTGTTCTTCAGCAGAGATCCTTAACTTGGCATTCTCATACTAACAAAACAAGCTGAAAACACTACAGATTTTACCTAAAGTCTGAAAACAGATGCTTATAACATGAAGTGCAAAGGGACTATGACACCACCTTTCTTTAAGTATGAACAGGGGAAATGAGAATCTAAGAGAAACACTACAGCATAACACTCCAAAGCCTGTTCAGAGAAAACTAACCTTGCATCCACATGCAGAAAGTAAACATGCCCTCTAACTAAATACCTGTGGATGGAGAAGCATGTAGCCCACACATTGTGACAGACAATGCCCTTCCATGCCAGTGAGGACATCCCGTTGCATTTCTACCTACTTTCAGGCTCTGGGTCTTACTACTTATATCCCAGCTGCGCTGATCAACCTTCATTTTATTAAAAGGAGGGTCAGCATGATCCAGATCCACTTTCTGCAATTTTATTTGCATCTGTGAAAAATTAGATGGGGCCATGTCATCAGCCAAGTCTACCCCTCCTCTCTTTTCTGAGCCCTGGTTAAAAAAAAAAAAAACAAAACAAAACAAAACAAAAAAAAACGGAAGGAAACGTATGTGAGCTCTGAATAGCCTGCAAAGGCTTGCTCAGTTTATGGGACAGCTGCTACTTATTGGCTTCCCTTAGCAAGTGCACAACCTATGCTGCAGGGACATGAGCTTCCCTCTGGCAGCAAGTGTGAGAGCTGGCACCAAAAGCAGCCTCCAATACAAGAAGTGTGATGAGATGTAAAGAGAGGAATGATGATAGGAGAAGGAGAGAAGTAACACAAGAGCAGCTTTCTGTGGAAAAGAAGTAACACAACCCCTGCAGAAGAGCTGTAAACCACCACTCTGAACTCATGGTCACTTTGTGTTTTCAATAGCGCATAAGGGTCTGTCTGCCTGCCACAGCTCTTGGATCAGGGTGCAAACACACACAGTGCAGGCTACACGTCCAGCTCAGAGATCAAGACTGGAAAAGCAGTAATAAAAATCAGGATATATCTGATTCTCTAGCCAGATGGGTGATCTTACTGCCAATCCCATTCTTTCTCTTTTCTCTTTCTGGTTATGACTCTCACTTGTTGATTCACGTCAAAATCCTACCACGAGGCTCAGAGAGCACAAGGGCCCAAAACAGTCTCTTCCAAGCCTGTCCCTCTGTATAACCCCTTCTTGGACCAGCATCTTTAAGCCAGATGTTGGTTGGATAGATATGTTTCCTGCTATCAATGACCCTCTCCAGCTAAAGAACTGCAGCTTATGGCTTGGGCAAATAAAGTTCACTGAAGAGGAAGGTTAAAAACAAAACAAAACAAAAACTATCAGGCTGTAGTTTCCCCTTCTCAATATGCAATATAATCAAGTTAACTGCTATGAATGATCTTCCCGAGGATGGACAAACAGGGTGTGTTACATCCTCCACAGCCTCTTGTTGATGGCCAGGTGCCTAAATAAAGCTGTACTTGAATTCTTCTGCTGGACTGAAATAATATCCCACTGTGGTCCTTTATATGCAGTTGGATTCTCTCTATCATACCTTCTTTAAGCCTTCCATCAGCAGCCGCTGCTCCATTTGGGAATATAGTCTTCACGAAAATTCCCATGCGTCCGCGAGCAGAATCCTGACCTCCCACAATGCTGAATCCAAGACCCTACAGAAAAGGGAAGAGAAGGCAAAGCTGGCACCTTACTTTATTATCACCTATGTGAGAAAGATTGCTGATAACACACAAGACAAAGGAAAGATGAAAACCTTCTGATGAATTGCACTGCCATCTTACCCTCTGCTTGCATTTCCTAATTTATTTTCATTCTAAGACCAACACACTTATCAGCCCCAAAAGTAGCAGCAGGCACCTTAAACTGAAATAACAAAAATGCTATTTCAAGATGACAGGTTTTTTTAAATGCTGGGTTAATGGCTTTATGTTATCCTCTTCCCGTTTTAAAAACTGTAACACATTGCTTTTAAATTGACAGACAGTGGATTCCCACCCCTAAGATCTCTATCCAGGATTAACTGTAGTTTTCTCTGCTGCCACAGATCCTGCATTTCCTCAGGAAAAAGAAAAGCTTAAGAACATGACATAAGGTCAGTGCTGTAATGTTGGGAATGTAGCTGGAAGGGGGCTGGCGTGGGGGGGCTGCCACGCACATGTACATTTTTAATTATTCTGGAGACATGTACCACGTTGTATTTAAATAAATCTAGATCAATACATTCCCCAGGGCTCCATCTGTTAGCTCTTGCCCCTGTGCTGCCCCGGCTGGCTGTGGGACTGTCTCACAAGGCTGATCAGGGAACGGATGAGCACAGCAGAACGAACCTCTCCCCCTTCTGCTGAGTTATTTCCCAGCTGAATCACTTCCTTGACCCATTCCCCGTCCCCGTATTTCTCCTCTTGTCACTGCTGTACATGTATTTTACAGAATAAAGAGAAAAGTCACTGACCAGGTGGACAAGGGAAGTGGAAAACTGTTGTGCTTCAGTGATCTGAAGCCATGGCTGTTATTATTAGCGCCCTGGGCAGTGCTCTCCAGCTGAGGGATGCTGCCAGGGCAGGCGCTAACACTGTGTTTACAACCCAATACAACAGCCAGCTCTTTTGCTTTAATCCATGAATATAAAGTAGACTACCACATTATGAGCTTCTAGTTAATTTGGTAAGACATTACTGATTTCTAGAAAGGAAGCATCCTAGCTTCCCCATGCAACACAAAATAACTCACCTGTTTGCTGTGCAATTATCAACTGCAAACCAACCTACAGAAAGCAGGAGGCTCCTGGCACTCACTACCTTGCACAGACACAGCAGGTCTCCCCATAGCTCTGTGGGGAGGGTTGGGAGAAATACAGCTGCAAAGTACAGCGGTTCCTACGTTAGCCCACCTTCCCGGAGAAGCACTGCCACTCCATAGCAGAAAAGCACCCCTTACAGATCTAACTACAGGTGAAAAACCAAGGGCAAACACTTGGCTCCAAGCTGCCAACACACAGCAACCCTGTGGAACTACTTTTCAAGTCCCAGGTCTGCATAGAAATAATAAAGCAAATCCAACCACACACATTGTACGTGATGCAACCCCTAACAGAGGTCACCACTCAGAAAGTGGGTGGAAGGCACCCAAAACAGCAGCTGTTTGAGGTGGTTCATGATCACTGGAGTCTGCTTGCTCCCGACTGCTTCCTAGCACCTTGGCGCTAACTGCAGAAAGGCAGGAGAGGGTGGTTTATCCCACAGGGAGAAATAATCTAACTCTTATGAGAAAAATGGTGTTTAAAAAAAAAAAAAAAAAAAAGAAAAATGAAGAAATATTTACTTGGAAATTTCATGGAAGACCTAGAGCTCCCAAAACAAGGAGAGTTGCAGCAACTGTGAGGCAATCTACCGAGAGAGGTCACTATTTCTAACTCTTTGCTAAACTTGCAGCACAACAAGGGATTTGTTTTGTATTTGAGCTTGAAAGCCAAAATAATTCTTTTTAGTCCAAAACATATCCATCTGATTAATTTAAAGAGTATTTCAGAAAAAGGCATGCATATTTTTAGCATATTTAAATGACAGCTCCACTACTAGTGTGGACTGGATTAGGGAAAACAATATAAACCTAGGTTAATGCTTGTCTATTCTCCCTTAGCATTCAGCCAGCTGGTAGCCAGCAAATGTGCAAATGCATCACTGAGGGGAGAAAAGAGGACTCTCTGACCCAGAGAATTCAGTGCTCTTAGATAAGCAATCAACCAGGAACCTGTCTTTGGGTTTAATGCTTCATTTGCAGTGATTTATTTTTTTTAAATGTATCCACAAAGACAGAATATGCTTGTCCATAAATATGCATGCAAACAGGTACTCTTCTGTAGCAGCATCAACTTCGCATAAGCACACATATTTAGAGATTCACTATTAATATTTGATATCTCAGTAACGACCAGATGCATCACATCAGAATGAAAGCCTCCCCACTTCAAGTGCATGATATGAACATTGTTTCTCCCGTATTTTGCAGGTGTAACTTCAGCATTTACATTTTAAATGGGATAGGCTTATCATTATGATTATCATTGGCTACCTTGAGAGCTGCTGGAAGTCCCCGGTATGGGAGACATCTCTCAAATGCCAGCTCTTGCTACATGTTAGAAACCAGTCATGTGCAGAAATCCTCACCTTGCCTTGTCCTTTCATCAGGACAATGTTGGAAATGATGGACGGCTGGGTCAGTCTCCATGGAGATTCCACTTGAGCAGCACTGAAGGAACGGGTGGATTTCTTCACAATATGGTAGTCCTAACAAACATCAGCAAACAAGGGAAGTCACTCTGATTGCTTGGCACAGGCACCAGGATGTCATACCAGGAAAATTGCATGTGTCGGCGAAGAGGGAGTGGGGGATCTTACAGATATATTCAGAAAAATGTCTAAGGCATGAAATCTTAGCTCATTACAGTCGAAGTGAATCTTGCCACAGTAATTTTCCCACATTTTGCACAGTGGGATCATTTTGTAATGTACCAGTCACAATTTAAATCAAAAAGATTAAGGGTAACCTCATGACATACTGAAGTCCTTATCTGCTAAGGAAAAAAAAAAAAAAAAAGCCTACCTCATTTTTTTTAAGTCCGTAGATGTCTAGAACTGCAACTCATAAAATCAGTCTTAGGAACTTCTGGCTTCAGCAACAAGTACCCCCTTCACCACCCTCAGCATAAAGAACATCTCCACAGATGAACAACACATCCCATTTTGGTGCCCAGGCCTGGTTTAGGTTCCCATGATGTACCTACATGGCCTTATTTCACCACCCTTGTTTCTACAGGCTCCAGACAGATTTTGAAGGACTGACCACAGTGAGGTGCTCAGGGTCAGCCCTGCCTCTCTACCCACCTGCCTGGCTCCCGCCGACTCCAGCTGCTGGGGCAGAGAGTGCTTTCTTCCACCCCGAGAATATTTCACAGCTATTTCATAATTTGATTCACCATTTTCCACTGTCAGCTCATCATCTTCTCCTACAGACTCCAAGCGGGATCCAGCACCTAGGGAAAACCACAGAAACATGTCCCGCAAACATCTCAGAGCTGCTTTATCCTCTCACCAGCATGCAATAATCACCTCCTGCAAACCCCAAATTAAACAGTGCCTTAAAAAAAACACTACACAGTTCCTGAATGGGCAGTTAGAAGCTAGTTTTGATCATCCTCAACTAAAAACTTTTCCTGCTGTCACAGGTTTTCTACGATCTTTCAGTGATGCTGAACTCCTCAGTGCTGTCACTTGTGGTAGTAAGGAAAAGCAGAAGATAATTGAGCCAGTAGCTCAGGGACAGAAAAGAAATTCAGTTGTTCTCACCCAACGGCACTTGCTAGTGCACTAAGCTCTCAAGCTTCATTTATTTAAAATTAAAAGACCTGACACTGTAGCAGTATTCATTTCTGGAGGTGTCATGTCACTTTGAGGGAAATTTTTCTGGAATGTAAAAAGGAAAAATGTGCCAAATAAATGCTATTTTCTTTCCTTCTGGCAATGATCCTAGTTGTCTTAAAGAGGAGAAGAGTGCAGAGTTCACTTAAGAAACAGAATTATTTGTCTTGAAGGACATCCTGTAATTAGCCGCTGAGTAGCCCACTCCTTGCACCAGGGCTCCTCCAACTCTCATTTTCTCCGAGGTCCCTACAGGACCCACAGTCACAGCAGTTCCCACACATTTATCCTTGCCATTATCCCACTACGCAGGGAAGGGCCATTAACCTCTATTTTACAGATGAAAACCCAAGACACAGACAGGCCAAATTTGCGCAAGCTCGGGTTCATGACGCGGTTTTAAAATTACTTTAAACCAGTGTTAAGCTGGAGCTGCCACAGAAAGGGGCAGCTCTGCTTTCCTTTCATCCTCACTGCCCCGTCCTTACTCTGGGGATGGGGATCACAAGCCATGGGCTGAGACAAACTCACTGCAAATTTACCCAGGAGAGCCCCAAACCTGATTTCTGCCACCTCCTCCTCACTCGGAGGCTGTGCAAGCATCGCTGCCAGTGCCACAGAGGGATGGTGCACAGAGCTGGGACAGCTGCTCATTTTCCCCTCAGCATTAAAGCAATTCTGGCACCGCACCCATGCAGAACTTGTACCCACTGCCCAGAGTGTAATTTAAACCTGCTTCCCGCTTTGGGGTGTGAAATTACCTCTGGTTTTAAAGCTCCCCTTCCCCAGGCACACAGAGCAGCTGCTGCACACCGCCAAGACAGCTCTCTTGGCAGGACCTGGCATCCTGGCACTTCTTTCACTTCCAAACCCTCCAGGCACCTACAACTAACCCTCTCCCATCACCTCTCCCCTCTCTTCTTCTAGGGGACCAGTTATACTTCTGTGTTCTCTGCCCAGCTCTGAATGCAGCCTCCCTCCCCACATTGCAGCCCAGGCCTGGGACCAGGCTGGGGGATGCTCCAGGCTCACCCACAGCCCAGAGGCATAAGCACTCAGGGGAACATGGCTGGATCCCCAATAAGCCACCAACACACAGCCACAGGGGCTACTGGCAGAGGAGCTCCTGGGAGGATGCTAAAAATATCTGAGTAAATGGAAATTACCGTGAACACACAGGGAGGGAGCCTCAGCAAGTATTAGGGATGAGAACGTGATCGGACTCTCCACACAGGTTACTGTTAAGAACTGGGGACAAAGCAATAGAAAATCTGGGGACTATTCGCCATAATGGATATTTTGGTGATGGCGTGTTGAAACATGTCCCCCACACATACATCAGTATCAGAGCACTCTGAAATATATAGGTAATGTAAACATTAAAAAGAGAGAGAGAAGAGAAAGAAACGAAAGAAACAAAAAAAAAAGAAAGAAGCTTCCAAAATTTTGCTTCATCTTTCTGTCCTTACAATAGTTCAACTCAGGAGGCTGAATGCAAACACCTGACAGCTGGGGTTTTCCTTCCAAATTAAACTCATATGCTCTCCAAAGGAAAGAAATAATATCTCACTTTTAGAGAGCTAAAATAAATACACAACATAAAAATTCTATTATTGCTATCTTTTACCAGGGCACCATTACCTTGGGATCGACTTCTGTATTTCAGTATGCCACTTCCCAGAGTTGGACTCTGGTTGTTTCCTTTGGACACTTCTGCACAAGCTGGATCTTGAGACTTCTCAGTTTCCATCACCTAAAAAAAAATAAAATAAACAAACAAACAAAACCTATTTACTTGTAAACCAGAGAAGTTGATAGAATTCCTCTCATTTTTAGTAAGGGACAGAAAATTCCACAGCATATAATCTTTTTTTCCCCAAAACATGTAATTGTATTAAGCCAGCATGCATTTCTGCAAGTTATTTTCAGCAATGCCTTTGGACATTATTGCAAATCTTACCAATGGGTACAGATGCAGTTCAGTTTGGCCAGGGATCCTCTGCAGGGTACCACACTAATGCCCCCAGAGCACCTCCAGCATCCACAGCACCTCGTTCAGGTTTCTCCGCATGCATTTAAACATAATTTTAATGTAGCTTTCAATGCAGTTTGTTCATCTCGGCAAGCTTCTGGAGACATCACATCTTCATAGAGAAAACCACTTTTCAGAAGTGTTACTTTATTGCTAGTGTCTGGAGCTGAATGCCGATGCAGAATGTATGAAAAGTTATGAAGATTATACAGCTAAGTACTTAAAAGCCTGGAAATGCTGAACTTAAATTTACACATGCAATCGCAACCCTCCTACCCTGAGGAAATGCACCAAGACAGGAGGAGTCTTTACCCACCGTATTTGCCTAGATGCAGGTGACAATACAAGGTGACAACATAGAGCAGCATGGACACCCCCGCCCGCGTCCAGCTCCCACATGGTCAGGAAGAGCAGAGCTGCCCATGTGCAAAGCCGGCAAATATTCTCCCCAACCCACATGTGGTGGAAGACCCTGGCGAGCTCCCTCTCCACTCGCTGCTTCCTTTACCGAGCTACAGCAGTTGCGTTTTCCTAGACGTGCTGCTGCACAGTGATCCTCAACACGCTCCCCATGTGCGCACTTTTTTTTGTTGTTTTACATTTTCACCCCATCACCCGCCGCGCATCCTCTGCGCCATTATTCAGACAGCTCATGGCAAAGATGACAAAATTACCAATACAGCCACTTACTGGTTGCGTTATGCTTATAACGTACTATATAAACAGTTGGAAGTCAGTTTAAAAAAAAAAAATCCCACCCAAATGACCAAAAGCTCTTACTGTTAAAATAATTTCTATTTCCACGAATCAAGCTTAAAAACGGGAGAATCTTCCCCAGAACGTGCCTCCCATCCCCAAACCAAGAAAGCCAAAGTTCACCTTTTGCACAGAGTATAGATTTTGTGATTTCAGTTCACAGGGTAAAAACTTCAGGCAAATGCAAAACTGGCAGATAACAGAAAGCTGGAATGGAAACTGCTTTTTATTCCCCCCCCTTCAACATTAACAGCTACACATAGGTTACACATAGTTTGCACATCCTAGCTAGTTCTTGTTGATTTTTCAAAGTGTTGCAGCAACTACGTCAGAGTCCACTTCTAGTATCACTTGCTTTGCAGCTCACAGCTCCATGTAATCAGATTCATCTGAAGAAGAAAGTAACTGCATCAGACTGAAAAAACCCACCATCCTGGCATGATTTCGCCATCCTAATGAGGGACTTGTTCCAGAAAATAATCCAGATCCAAAAACCCACCCAAGAGACCCAAACCACCATTAATTAGGCCATGGCCAAACTATCACAAACTCTCCCGATGAGAGACGGGGACACCCAGAAGACAGCAGAAATGTTTGGAAGTGAGCCAAGACTTCACAGATCACACAAAGTTATATTGGAATTTACTGCATGAGAGAAAATATTCTGTATTAAGTGACACTGCCTTCCTTGTAGAAAGGTAGGAACCATTTGCACAAACACAGAAAAAAATCACATAGCTGGTGGTTTTAAAGGTGTGCAAAATCATCAGGGGCAGTGTTAACTCTGTGGTGGAGAAATATTTGAAGCACAGGGATGAAGAAAAACAAGAGGGATGCCTCAACAAAGCAGCCATGCATCAGCATGCCGTATTAACCACCCTAACAGACAGGGATGGTTCAACCTGACTTTTCTGGAGCTGAGCACAACCCAGCTCAGGTCCGGAGCTGTAAAGCTGTTTTGTTTCTGAGGTATGCATGGACATGGGAAATTACACCTGGTGAGTCCAAAGCTGGACTGCTTCCTCCAGCTCAGAGCATGGGGCAAAAAAAAACTCAGTTTGCAGCAGTGTACAGAAAGATGCTGAAATCATCACTGCCACAGCCAATTTACACCCCAAGTGCAGGCTCAAGGGTGATGCATTTGGTACACCTTGTGTTTCTACTAGAAAGGGTTTGGTTTGGAGCTTTTTTTGCTTTTATTTATTTTGACTGTGCAACAGCAGCAAAGTACAGACACATTCTGCCATTACATACATTTCCACCTCGTGGGGTGAGAAGAAAGCCAGGTGACAATTGCCACTTGTGTTAAAACCTTGCACCCCCATTCCTTCACCTCATTGCTGCGCAATCCTGGAGGCTGTGAGCCTACAGACAGCAAACCCCCAAACCCCACATGAGCCACATAAGGGCATGTGTGCGCAAACACCAATGCTAGGCAAAGCCTCAAGGCATTCTCAGTGGCTTCCTGAAATTACTTTATCCAACTTGGCTTCAGACTACAATAAGAAACAAAAACATCTAAATTACCTATGTCTGTGTTTATTTCTTATTTTAGCAAAAATACTTTTCTGACATTAATTATAAACACGTAGGGGAAGACACTCTAGCATCTGCAATGAAGTAGATATTCTTTAAATTGTTGAGATTGTCTAATAAACCACCAAGCGTTTTATCCTATTCAGAAAACACTTAGAAATCCAATCCACAAAGCTTGCGAGAACTCCCCAAAGTCATGTGTCTGTAATCTTTGGCTCTCTCGTAACTCGGACAAGAAGAAAAACCCAGCTCCACCTTATCCTTCTGGCCACACGTGAAATGTATCGCTTTACTGTCTCAAGGCGGCTGCCCAGATTTAACCATGCCATTTTAATTTTCCTCACTTTCAAGGAAATGGAGCTTATTATTTCAGTTCTGTACGTCTCTTATTAAACTAAACCAGTAAATCCTGCCCAACCCCATCCCGGCATTAAGGACAAGGGGAGCTTTAACACACAGAGTAGTTTGGAGGGAGATCTAAAAATAGAGCCCATTTTGCCAGTTCATTAAGTAGCTCTGGGATCAAGTAATGGTGACATCTCAATTGATTTCAAAGGAAACGGCGCTATCACGGACACACGGTCCTGGCACCGCACCAGAACGAACAACTGCCCCCGGAGTCCTCACTCGGGCAAAGCTCCAGCGTGACCAGACCCTTAATTAGGCAAGACGAGGAGCAGGATTATGAGAGCACATTGTTTAACCACAAACAGCTTGGCAATCGTTGCTGATCTATGAAAACAAGGCGGCACACAGGGGATGATACAATTTAATAAGAAAACTGCTTTACTGCTGCCGTCACAGAGCTCCTAAGCTCCTGCCTTTCCCACCAGTGAGCCCACCCGACTCCGCAGGGCACAGCCTGCCAGCTTTCTCTGCTGAGGAGAGCCAGCAGCATATAGACAAGTTTAACCTGATAGTTAGGGAGCAAAACAGCAGGAATTAGAATGACGGCATGCCAAATTCAGCCCTGCTACCTGTACCGGCAAAGTAAGTCCACTAGCAAGTCCGCTGCCCTTCTCTAGAACAGCAATGTGAAAGAGGAACGGCTGTGCCTCTGCACACAGCAACCCTGCACAAGCTCCACAGGGTAATTCCTCATCTTCTTCAGCCCTGACTCAGCTGGGACAGTTCTTCCTCAAGCACCACTGCCCCAAACATATTTAATCACTAAACACCCCAACATCGCTTTCTGTAGGGCAGCCAGCAGGATGAACCCAACAAGTCTCCAAGAGGAGCCAGCACCAGACCCTGCAGTGAAAAGTGCAAAACGCCTGATGCAAACCTGGCTTCACCTGGTCCCTGTACAAAGTCTTTCTTCCTAGTCCCTTGAGACTAGCTGATGCCTTAAAGGCTTTAACCTTTCCAAAAGTTTTAGAGATTTTCTTCCAAGATCTATTATAATTCTAGGTGTTCCAGTTATTTGTGCAATTATTTATTGCTTTATTGGGCACAGCATGCTTTAAGCCTTAAATGTATCTGATAGGCAGGGCACTCCACAGGCCCCTTTACCTTGCACAGAAAGTAAAATACCTTCGCTTTTAAATTATCTCTTTTTCAATTTAATTGAATCCATCTCCCAGATAAATTACAAACTGCAGCACTATAATTTACCAGAATTAACCCTGCAAACAATGCAGAGGACATGGATTTTCTAATCTTGGCTAACAGTGAGTTTTCCGTATCTTACTGTTCTGTTTTAGGGTATGCACAAAGCTGCCCAGATTCTGGAACGAGCCGGACGAGCCAGGACACACCGCATCAGGGGCTGCAGCACCCAGGGGCACCTTCCTGGAACACAGCCCCCTTGGCTGAACCTTGGAGCTCAGCACAAGTTCAAATTAAACCCAGACTTAAGCGTTCTTGGTGCCAGCTCAGGACTCCCCTCTTTCAAAGGGCATTGCATTGCTGCTTCCCTCTGTCATGGCACAGAGATCCAAATGGAGCCAGGGATGAAGGAAAAGAGGACGAATGTCACCTCCATGTCAGCACTAATTCAGTGACTTAACAGGCATCTTAGAAAAATCTGGTGCCCTGGTTTCTCCTCCAGCACGAAGCTGCCAAGGCAGACAGCAGCTCTGCAGGTTGGCCAGGGCAGGCTCCACCAGCGAGGCTCCAGGAGAGCTCAGATCTGGGCTATATTTAGCACTCGTGGTGAAACAAAGCACTGGCCACCTTCCCCAGCAGCTCGTCTGGGAACTACCCGTGCCGGTACCACTGGGTTCAGCCTGTGCTTCCTCCTGCCCAGGGAAAAAGGATGGGAACTTGAGGCCTCCATTACCTAATTAAAAGAAAGTGTTGGAAAACTCCCGGTTCATGTGCAGCAGGAGATCAGGAAATCTGATAAACAGTCACGAACTGGAGCTGCCCTATTTTCTGAATAGGTGGAAATGCCAAATAAACAAAACAAAAGCCTTTAAAGCGGTCTC